TAGGCTCAGAACAGAAGTTCCTTTTTAGGACGAAAGCCTCAAACAAACAAGAAATAAAAACTTTTGTTGTAGTTTGACACCTGTTAAAAGCTACTTTTTCTACCTCTATAATACGGCAAAATCGGGAGTTGACATGATGTATGCTCCTACACTGTCCCGTTGTAGAACAACATTTATTTGCCGAGTTTTATTTTCGTTCACCATTCTCTTGCTATTTGCGTATTGTTATTCCTAGCGCAATTATACTATCGATTACGTGGACTATGGATTTACTCGAGATTAAAATCATGGAATAGATTATTCTTGGTATAGTTACTCGTGTATAAATGAAGTTTGGTCGAATGACCTAAGACATGTCGGTTTCCTCACGATGTTTTCTTTCACCGTTCGAGCAAATGTTAAATGCGCACGTAGAAAGAAAGTCCATTGGTGCACAGCCGGGGATGGAACCTACGACCTCAGGTCTGAGAGTCGCTGAAGCTATTAAGCCAACACTGCTCAACCTTTTTAACCTGACTTAGAATGAAATATTATGGTAAAAAGTATATCTAATAATGTTCCACTTAATAAGGAATCTGAAGTCCAAAAGGAATAAAACCAATTGGTTAAAATACCCAGACCTACTGGCTCATTTCTGGCACAAAGCTAATGTAAGACTTTGAACAGTATCCGTTTTGCTAGAAAGTGAATTTTTAGGCTTAAGGTAATTGACTAACTGTACCACTACCAACTAATTAAACCCACGTAAAACATTACTAGAAACGCGTTAAAATTCTTTTAAATCAAAAATATTTAAAAAAAAAACTTAAATAATTGTTATTCCCATGTAATCCAAAATATAAATTTAATCAAATTTATCTGAACATTTTCTCAGCCGACTCCTACACTACATCTTATCGATCCGTTCAATTTTATCGGCAACCTTAATTATTTGTAATGGGTTTTAATTATTTAATTAATTAATTTAGTTCGTTGCGAGAATGCGGTTCACTTCGGTGTCTTTGAAGCCTAAACAGCCTTAATTCGCTTTATATAGTATTTAATTGTCATTTAGTTTCATCAATTATCTAGTTGGTTCATCGATAATATCTATGGGTATTTTAAAATCTGAGTTTTGGCCAAGCGGTTTTGTTAAGGCACTGTGACGCCTGGGGTATCAAGTTCGATTCCCAGTCAAAGGCAATATTATACTTAAAATTGTGTTTTTTTACATTTTATTTTATATATAAGTTATGGATGTTGAAAAAAAATCTACCGCAGAAATTTAAATAGTAGTAGAAGATACTTGTCGCTGACAAGATAAGATGTTATTTTAAATCGGTAAAGTAGCAGCATAGACTAAGTATTTTTAGATGAATAGATTTCCCATTGACCATCCAAGGTAATAGAAAAATAGACGAAGACTTTAATTCATTTCAAATTTATCGATCCAAATGCTAATAACTATATCATATGCATCTTATTAATTAGACGTGATGTATAATATGACTATTGTTTCATTACTTCTAGAACTTATAAGAAATAATAACAGATAACAAGTAACGGTAACATAGACTAAGTCTTTATAGATTTCCCATTGACAATCCAGAGAAATAAAAAAAATATAATGTTTTAAACTTATTGATCAAAAACTATATAATCTAAATTTTTTTAATATGAAGTGGTATATAATATGACAATTTTTTAATTATTTTAAGAACATTTATAGGAATTAATAATAGTTGACAAGTAACATAGACTAAATATTTATAGATGTATAGATTTCATCATAAGCTTAACCCAAAAGCAATCTACGTAGCCTATCGATTTAATATAGATAAATTAGAGTTGGTAAACAGGAGAGGAACTGAGTAATTTAGTAATTGTATCCACTAACAACGAATTAAATAGTAATCAATAGAAATGGGGCCCCGGGCGCACTCGTTTCGCTTTTAGGCCAAACGATACGATTATACGATGCGACTTGATAATTTGTCGTCGTTTAATGAAAACTTATGGGCACGGTTTAATTGAATTATTAACGTTGTTAAAGTCAATAAAAATGACTTTTAATTTGGTTTCAATTAACAGTTAAACAACAGTTTAAAGTAACAGTGGGATAAAGAAATATCAATAAAAACGTGAAATGTACATTTTACGGAGGTTAGGAAGAAAATCCAATCAAATACTTTGTAATATTCAAACGTGTGTGTAAATGTACTATGGATAGAATAGGCTTTTCTGGTGTTTCTTCCGCCTATCAATACTGACAATTTTGAAAGGTAAGTGAGTGAGTTGCTACCTTTTTAGAATACATGTGTAACCTTTTACTTAAATAACTCTAATTAAAGGTTTCAGAGCCCAGTTTTCACGCTTTTTATTCCCGTATGTCGAGTATACTATAGGACGAAGTGTTTCTAATGTTAAGTAATTCCAGCAAATACTGACTATATTAAAAAGCGAGTGCGTTGCCGCCTTTTTAGAATATGTGTGTAACTTTTTACTTCAAGAACTCTAACGCTAAGTTTCAGAGCCCAGTTTTCACGCTATTTTGACTCCTGTATGTCTAGTATATAGAACGAAGCGTTTTTAATGTTAAATAATTCCAGCAAATACTAAGAATGTCAAAAGGCGAGTCACTTTTTAGAATATGTGTAACTAATTTCTTAATGAATTCTAATGCTAAGTTTCAGAGCCAAGCTGATAGTCAACGTTTGAGCAACAACCTAATCCGTACTGGAAAGAAATATAATAATTATATTTAAAAGGCTATAAATGGTCGCGTGTAGACCGATTACAGTTCTTCTTATATTAAAGAGACCTAACACTTAGTAACACATTCCATTCACTCACTCAAATGCACCCTACACACTCACTCATGCATCCAAGCTTGTCGTAAACAGTAAAAAAAATATGTTCTGGAATTTACTTTTAAGTTTGTTATGAAAAAGCTAGGAACCCTCACACATGTATTTTTTATTTATAACGGTTCCCAAATCTTTCAAATTATTAAACACATTTTTATTTTATTATTAAAAAAGTTTCAATGAAAATTTTAAAAAGTTATAAGGTCGTTGACCTGAACAAATTATGCTAGTCTCATCATAGTTTATAATTGAATTTAAAAAATCGTACAGATTAAAAGACTAACTTTCTATTGTTTTAAAATGTACACTCGTCGACAAAATTGGATTAGCCAAGGGTTTTCGACTTGTTTAGTTTACTGAAACTTTAAACAGTCTAATAAACAATTTTTGTTTTTATCAAATTTCCGAATAATTAAAGCACTTGTTTTTAGTTCGAATATTTGAGTAAATACATAGGAAAGTGCTTTGATTTCAATGTAAAGGAGTTATTGTGAACATTTAATTTTAAATTTGTGTATTTTTTCCTAATTTATCAATTGAGATGGAGCTGTGGTTGCTTAGTTAGGCATGCGATTCCACTTTGTTTAAAAATTTCGATTCAAAACACAGGTCTGCCATGAAATGTTTATTAATAATTCGAGGTCAGGCGTTGTTGTCAACCTATACGTTGCAAGTATTAACATTTTTTTTGCCCTTAAGTTAAACAAAAATCTTTAGTAAATTCCCTAATTTTTAGCAAGATTAATTGCATTGTTTATACAATCTTTATTCTTTGTGCAACCATCCTATACTCTGTGGCTGATTCATTAGATTATTAACCATTTTATAGTCTGACCATCCAGAGGTTGCATTTTGATTAAAAAGCTATATCAACTGAATTTGAAGAATAAAATAAAGTAATGGCGCTACAATTTTTATAGCTCTGGAGAGATTTCTGTATCTATTTCATGATTTGTCAATCTAATAGGCAAGTAGGTGGTCTGTTCACACACGCCGTCGACATTTTGTGTCTAAGGCAAGCCGGTTTCCTCACGATGTTTTCCTTCACCGTTCGAGCATGTTAAATACGCACATAGCCGGGGATCGAACTTACGACCTCAGGGATGAGAGTCGCACGCTAAAGCCACTTGGCCAATACTGCTCAGTTTGTATTGTCATGTATTGATTATATACAAAAAACTGAGGCCTACTCAAAAGATTGTAGCGCCTTTATTTTTTGGTTATACTATTTTCGTAAATCCTAAGAATCTACGTATTTAAAATTAAAACAATAAAGCTAAAATGTATTAGGATTCGTATTAAAGCTATCAAAGTATTTGTAGCGTGCTTACATCAACTGTAATTACCCGGCTTTAATGCAGAAATAGCAGAATCGATGCATTCATTATGGAACAATTAAGTGACTGGGTCGCACCTAGCTTTTCATATCCCGCTTAGTTTTTAGCGATCGAAAGACTTAACTAGGTTAACTAACGGTTGAAACATTTCTAATGGTTCATTTATAAACCTTTGAATTTAAGAAAGGGATGTTAAGGTAACAAAGAATTGTTTGTAACGAAATGAGTTAACTGATCTAGGTATCTTTGAGGTTCAAGTGAACAGGCGCTAATTAAAGATTTAAGTTCGCGCCTGGTCGATAGTACAGGTGACCCCAGAACTGGTGCTCAATGAATATGTATCGGAATATTACATAGGTTATATATTATTACTATATAGGTTAAGATTATTATAAATACTGTAAAAGTACAGTAGTTTATATTATTTTAATTGGTTTAATCAATATAATGAATTGATTGATTTAATCAATATATGTGAATAAAGAAAACTCTTATAATAGAGTTCACAAAAGAGTGACTTTTCATGAATTACAATCTAGCCAATACAATAATTAAACATAATAAGTAATATTATGTTGACTTAATTTTCTACAATACTAGTGAATTGAGTAATTTAATTAAGTCTTGGTGTTCTATAATGTTTTGACACCCCGAGATACCGCACTTGCGATTTCTTGAGTTATTTTTTTCTATATATCTTATTTTGTAAAGACAGGTAGTTTAAAAAAAATTCAGTTTCTCTTTTCTCTTTCAGCTCTGACGTATCATACTTACGTTTAACTACTATGCGTAGTTAAATGTATACAAAATAACTTACTTGGTGAATCAGCCAGTAAATCGTTCTCCTCGTGTGACGGAGACTTGACAGAACCCGGTGACATTTTGACCGGCGCGTGAGGTGATGCGTTTGGGCCGGAACTCACACTGCCCGTACTGCTGCCTGGGCCGGCGTTGGAGTGCGATGTTGTGATGGTAATCTCACCGTTTGATGACGCCAGCCTGCCAAATAATATTACTTTATTTTATGTTCTCCAGATATGGTACACTCTGTCATAGGTGTGTGCGCAGATTGTGCGCTGTATTAATGAATATTACACGAGCAAGAATAAACTAGCAATTTCTTACATTTTACTTAACAATTCTGAGGTCGTTCGAACCACGGCTGTGTGCAATTAACACTAAATAGCTCATATCGAGCAGGCGAACATCGCAAGGAAACCAGTAGTTTTAAAGCCAAAAAATGTACAATATTGATATGATCAATTTGTATATAAAAAAAATATTAGAAAAACATCCAATCTAAGTCCAGAGCTGTTAAGGGTTTAATGCATTGTAATAAGTAAATAATTATCCAGAGCAGTATTGGCTTCGCCATGCGACTCTCATCCCTGGCTGGAACCCCGGCTGTGCACCAATGGACCTTCTACATGCGCATTTAACACTTCAGTGAAGAAAAGCATCCCGGTACTCAGTAGACCGAGGTTGCGTTAGTGAGATGGAGTTGTCATGGTCCTCGAAACAATAGGTGATCGAAGTTGGACGCACAAAGTAGATTGTGATGGCGAAATATTCTCGACGAGGCTTAGGCCCACAAGAGGCTATTAATGATGATGATAATGAAGAAAAACATCGTGACAAAACCGGCATACCTTAAACTCGAGTCGCGTGTTTCAGGCACAGACGTCTGATCAACTACCTACCACTAACCGATACAGATCAGACGCGCAGACCTGATAACACTCCTGTAATGCCCCGAGTTAAGTCTTATATGTAAAAACACACCACTGCGAGATTTTAAAACGGCAAACACTCAACTTCCCACATTTACAACAATAGACTCCCTCTCAACTGCATGTGGGTACACGGCACAAAACGCAGCTCTTAAAGTGTGTCGCATTACTCATAATTGCTAGCTAATTAGTGCTCATCCGTCGCGATACACGATTTAATTTGTAAGAATCCTTACTGAATTAAAATGCGTTGTTAAGGTTTGAGCCTGCGACGTATTTATTAACTTTGGAGTATAAAAATAGGAAGGCGACATCCTTAAAAAATAAGCTCATACAGGCAACCCTATTGAGCATACTATGGGACAAAAGGTGTTTTATAGAAGAGAGGCAAATGGCAGGAGGCCCACCTGATGTTAAGTGATACCGCCCATGGACACTCTCAATGCCAGAGGGCTCGCGAGTGGGTTGCTGGATGATAGTTACGCAAATACAAATAGAAGAACAATATCGAATTGTAAATTACTGAACAAAACAATCTTATCTAAAGGTAAAAATGTTAAACAACTCAAGTAAAGGGAGAAGAGGGGTACGCTCTTTAGTAGGAGATTTTTATTGATTTTAGAGGTATATTTCATCGTGTGGAATGCGTTATCATCCGTATTAGAATGATATAAAAATTAAATAAATCAGTGGAGTTACAACCTTTTGAAATCTGGGCCTCAAATTTCTGTATATGTTGACCATTTGTCAATCTAATAGGCAAGTAGGTGAGCCTCCTGTGCCTGACACGTCGAGTTTTTGAGTCTAAGGCAAGTCGGTTTCCTCACGATGTTTTCCATCACCGTTCAAGCGAATGCGCACATAGAAAGTGCATTGATGCCCAGCCGGGGATCGAACCTACGACCTCGAGGATGAGAGCTACGCTGAAGCCACTTGGCCAACACTGCTCATTCATGCAAATTAGAACAGTTTGAGTAGAAAAATTGATTTATTTCGGTAAAGTTCGTAATCGTAAATAACAGGCACTTGAATTTGTTATACAAATATTTTCCATGGCTCACTGGCCCATTTGGTGAATGAAAGGAAGGTTTTGACGCCTGACACAATTAGTATCAACTATTATTCTGATATCGAGCTGCGCAGGAGACGGAAGACATTCCTTGTCTGTCTTGTTCTTGACTCTCCACTAATAACTCAATATAAGCTTTTTCCATTCAAAATCTACTCCCAATGTTCATTAATATTGAATTAAAAATGCCCTTTAAGGCTCATAAACTTCTTCATGTAAAATTTGACAACCAGTTATCTCCATATTTTTACGCTCACGGTAATTACGTGTTTACGAGAATTTAAATTTATCTGAATTTATTAACTGGATAATTTTCTCAATTGTATAGTTTGGTACTTGAGTTTAAGTTTATATCATTTTTTGCTTTGATCTGTTATTAAATAAATTCTGCGTTATCGTTTTAGGAAAAGATTTGTTATGTTTCCTGGCAAAAAAATTAACTATAACATTAATAAATAAACTGCGATGAAAAATGACTTGATGGCTATATTCAGCAACTCCATGGAGACCTTTCCCCGAGTCGTTTTAAAAACCTTGCTGTGTTAATTATTTGCTATTATTATTATTTTCTGTATTTAAAGTGTACATTCGCGTATGCTTGGCGGATCCATGCGACTTCTTCAATATGAAGAGTCCCCTGGTAGGTTGTGTGCTGCGATATTGCGGGCTACTTGATTGTAAGGAAGTTGCATGGATCTGGTTAGCGCTGCGCCTACTTAAGTTCTCGTGTCCGTTTCACACTTGTGTATCCTTTATATAATATATGTTCATTAGTGTCTAATTGTCCTCTTTGTAACTTGTTGATGTTCGAGAACAAAAAAGAAACTGATTACCCCCCCCCCAAAAAAAAAAAAAGAGGGGGGGGAAAAAAAAAAAAAAAAAAAAAAAAAAAAAAAAAAAAAAAAAAAAAAAAGGGGGGGGGGGGGGCAAATAAGGGAAAAAAAAAATTTTAAAAAGGGGGGGGGGGTGGGGGAAAAAAGGGGGGGATATAAAAAAGGTTTTTTAAATCTGAGTTAACATGCATACCAATCATGTTCTGTAAAAAAGATTAATAATTGACAAATATTTACCAACAGGCTAGTAGGCTGGAGCCCAAGGCGACACTTATGAGAACTTTTTTTTGCTACCTCAGCATCAGAGGTGAAACGAGCTGAAAATATAGTCCCTCTTCCTCCTATCAACGTACATGTCAGTCCTACTACTTGGGGGGGCGGTTGGAGGGGTGGGAACGGGATGGTTTGTGTATAATTTTGTGATAAATTTTGATTAAAAAATCTCTTGACTTGTCAATTGTAGAGGAAAGCGACAAACTCCTTGAAAATCTGTACAACCGCAACACACCATAACTGTGTCCAAATTGACCATAATATAAGTTGTAACTATATTTAATTTAAAAATAAATTTATATAACAGGTAGTTAAGTAATTCCTAATATAGTAGATAAATTATTCATACAATTAGAAAAAGTCAGTTGCCATGCAGGAAACATTACGCCTTTGGCGATTTCAAATACATTATAATTATCAGTACCAGTTTTACCCTAATAAACATTATTTTCAAGTTGTAATTATGATAGTTATAATTCATTAATATGACAACATAATTTTATATAACTTCATACGTAAACGGTATTTTTAATAACTGGTTTGGTTATGGTTGGACCCATCTTATTCTAAGTTACGGAAAATCAATGTCTGGTTTATTATATTTTGAGTGCATTTAATCTAACTATATAATATATATATTTTCCAATATATATATTACTAGCTGACCCGGCAAACGTCGTTTTGCCATGTATATTATTTCTAGGAAACATTTTTTTAGTTTAATAAAACTATCTACTATAATAAAAAAGAGGGGTTGATCGTAGAGGGGTGAAAATAAAGGGTTGTATGTATTTCTGTATGTTGTATCATTAACAAATAAAAACAAAAAGTTGGGGTGGACATCCCTTATCACTTAAGGGTTTGAAAGATAGATAGTAGCCGATTCTCAGACTTACTGAATATATATAAAAAAATCATATGAATCGGTCGAGCCGTTTCGGAGGAGTATGGGGACGAACATTGTGACACGAGAATTTTATATATTAGATATAGTTGATTGATAGACAAATGATTACATTAAACGATTAAATACACGATTAAACGAGCTCAGAGATACGCACACTGAAGCCACTAGGCCAACATTGCTCCGCAATTATATTAATAGGAAAAACAGTAATAGATATAGTCTTTTACTATATATATAACATAGGCTCTAGGAAACAGTGAAAAAATTAGCTCCTAGACAGTCGTACTCTTCAATAGCCACTTTACTTTCAACGTCAGGTGAGCTGCGAAACGTCTGTTTTTTTTTAAATTAGATAACGTGAAAGTCATACAAAATTTATACAAATAAACTAATGTAATGAAAAGTGTTGGCCTAGTGGCTTCAGCATGCGACTCTTATCTCTGATATCGTAGGTTCGATCCCCGGCTGTGCACCAGTGGACTTTCTTTCTATGTGCGCATTTTAAATTTTGAACGGTGAAAACATTATGAGGAAACCGGCTTGCCTTATACCCAAAAAGTCGACGGCGTGTGTCAGACTGAGGCTGATCACCTACTTGCCTATAAGATGGACAAATGATCATGAAACAGATACAGAAATCTGAGGCCCAGACCTAAAAGTGTTGTAGCGCTACTGATTTCTTCTAATTTAATGAAAAATTGCCTAGTATTATCAGTATTATTATTATTATCCAAACGCTACAACAAATTTTTTATTCAAACCTTGCTTATCATAGAACCTTTTTGTTTCGTAGATTTCACAATGACTTAACATTTTAATGTACTTTTAATAGACGTCAAATGACATACAATATTTATCTAGATTGTAGGCCAACAGAAATGAGGTATTAAACTTAATTATGGATGCGAGAATTAATGCTTCGAGCTAGTAATTATGAGGTCGCATTAAGTTAATGTCTTTGAAGTATACAGGCGTACACATAAATTTACTTTAATGCATACAATCGTTACGAATATTAAAACGATTTTTTGACAGTCTTTATACGCCCTCTGCGAGCAGTGTCGGCCTAGTGGCTTCAGCGTGCGACTCTCATCCCTGAGGTTGTAGGTTCGATTCCCAGCTGTACACCAATGGACTTTCTTTCTATGTACGCATTTAACAATCGAACGGTGAAGAAAAACATCGTGAGGAAACCGGCTTGCCTTAGACCCAAAAAGTCAACGGCGTGCGTCAGGCACAGATCACCTACTTGCCTATTAGATTACCAAATAATCTTGAAACAGATACAGAAATCTGTGGCCCAGACCTAAAAAGGTTGTAGCGCCATTGATTTTTTTTATATACGCCCTCTACGCCCTTGACTTGCGAACTGGTAGTAAATGTAAATTTTGAATTAATTTAACTTCTTTTCTGACATTCATAAGTGTACTTGTTTACCTATATGAATAAAGATATTTTGAGTTTGAGGGCTCAAAGGCATATTTATAAACTCATAGCCTAGCGGTCTTATTAAGTGGCAGCTAGGTGAGGGGTACCGGGTTCGATTCCCGGTTCAAGTTTAAATTTAATTTAAATTTGTTCTCGGCCTTTGGGAGGATTGGGCGGTACCGGGCGAGTGCTTAAACCGTTGTCCTCCATGGACACGGTCGAATTTCTAAGGCAAGCACGAATTATAAAAAATCTTATACTTGACGCTGGCTAATGCACAAACCGTGCCAGAACCATAAAAAAAATATTCTTTTTGCATTTTACACGTCATATACATATAGTCGAGAAGAGAAAGTCAGTTCAGTATTTTCGAATTCCTCTTATCTAATTACATGCGAGTCACGTACAGTGTAGCCTTTTTTTATCACCTTTTATTTAATTGAGTAATTTTACATATTACTGAGCAATTAAAATTTTTCATACTTCAAAGATTCTTTGGCTCAGTTTGCGACGGTGTTTGGCGTATACAATGAATCTAATATATAAAATTCTCGTGTCACAATGTTCGTTGCCATACTCTTCCGAAACGGCTTGACCGATTCTTTTGAAATTTTTGATGCATATTTAGTGAGTTTGAGAATCGGCTACTATTTATTTTTCATTCCCCTTATGTTCAGGTTGATCCCACCCCTAATTTTTTTAGACAAACTTTTTGTTTTTATTTTTTAATGATACAGCATACAAAAATTACCCTTAATTGTCGCCCCTCTACGATCAACCCCTATTTTTTATTAGTTAATTAAAATCTTATGACTTGAACTCTGAGGTTTATATAGAGAGAATTTAACAGATAAACCTAAAAAGTTTTCATTCCAGAAAACTGAACATAGCAAAATGTTCCATGTTGGTATGTACTAAAAATGTAGGATAAGTAAAATCACATTAAGGAGAAATGAAGTTCGCGGGGGCAGCTAGTAACTTTATAACATCCATGACGACGTCAACATCGTCCAATTCATAAAATGCAGGCTCAAGTGACCGAGACATGGGCACCGAATAGCGGACGACAGAACACCAAGTTCCTTACTGAACTCATAACAATAAGAGGAACCCGGTAGACCGAGGCTGCGTTGGTGGAATGGAGTAGAAATAAGACATAGATGGTGAAATATACTTGAGGGGGCTAGAGCCCACAAGGGGCTGTATAGCCATTAAAGATGATGATGAATACATTATTAAAGCATTGCTAACGACCTGTATGAAGTCATCAATATATAAAATTCTCGTGTCAAAGTTTTCGTTGCCATACCCCGAAACGGCTCGACCGATTCTCATGAAATTTTGTGTGCATATTGGGTATGTCTGAGAATCGGACAACATCTATTTTTCATCCCCCTAAATGTTAAGGGTAGTCCACCCCTAAATATTTTTTTTTATTTTTAGATATTTTTTTCTGTTTTTATTTTTTTATGATACAGCATTAAAAAATACATACAAACCCCTAACTTTCACCCCTCTACGATCAACCCCTATTTTTTTATTATAAATGATATATATGGCAAAACGACGTTTGCCCGGTCAGCTAGTAGATATATATATTTAAGCCTTAGTTATAATACGAGTAGTAGTCCAGTCCTTTATACAATGCCAAGACTGTGCATTTTTTTAGTACATAAATACTTAGAAATGGAGTCATATATATCAAAGGAAACAGCAATGTACCAGAATTATATGTTGAGGATCTATTTATATCCATTACATTGTTTAGACATGGCGCATGTTTTATGCTTAATTACATGTTCGCGATATCAACCTTATGTGTGAATTATTTGTGAGATTTAAATTTTAGTATCAAAGAAAGAGATCACGTCCCGATTTTTTGTATATGTACATTTTTTTTAAGAGTTGGTACGCTGTTTTCTTGAAAGACAAGTGTTATAAGTTTTTTAGTTATAGTTAGTTTATAAGCTTGCCTAATGTATTATATTACTAGTTAGAAAGTTGTTCTTGGTAGTATTTTTAACGAGAATTAAATATCTTAAACCATAATTGTGACCGTTTAAAAACATTGGTCTTACTTTGTTGTCAAACATCGCTTTATTAAACACCATTTCAGCTTACAGCTTTTGACACGCTACATAGAAACTCCAGCAAATATGTTAGGGACTCCTTGTCTGCTAAGAGCTGAGGCTTTTTCAGTGATACTCCTGTATGCTAACTGGTCCAATATCGGACAAATAATTACTAAGTGGAGTCCAGATTTCATCCTCCATATCTCTCGCAATTTGAGTTGCTCTTTCTGGGAGCATTGTGTCTTGTAATATCTTTAAGCCATCAATTATGTGATGAAAGTACACCATGGTTTTGGATACTGTTATTTGTTTGTCTTGCCCAAATACGAATACAATCACTAAGTATTATTTTTATAGAGGAACTTAGAAGTTTGTTCTCAGGTGAGAGTCGAGTCCTGGTCTCAAATTTTGTCCGTTTCTTTTGTTTAGGTGAAAGTCAGTCTTCTACTTAACACATGGGTGGATTTTTGTATGTAAGACATGCTGGTTTCTTTATGAAATTTGTCTTCTAAGTAAAAGGTGTTAGGGTATAGATAAGGGCGAAATTGAACTTATAATAACTGCTGACATTTTAGACATTTTTGTTGATATGGTTTGTCTTCGATAGATTACAATTAGGATTTTCAATAGTAATTACAATTGTTATTTTCCGACACAATTGCACAACCATGAAACATATTCCGAATCCATTACATTATTAAATTAAATAATTACTTGAGATAAACAAACACTTTTAACTTTAATGTACAAACCATAAAGAATTTTAAAGATAAGAAAGAGACAAGTGAATAATCGTGTTTTTGTAATATTTTAATATCATTGATTTGTCCTTATTAACTCATATCCCGATAAGAAACGAGTTATATTAGATTGTAAACAAGTATTTCTAGTAAGGATAATTATGTGTGTTTAATTGCATTAACTGGAGTGCCATTTGATAACATTTAATACATTAAGTACTATTATATTACATGTACCAAGAATAATTAATTATCGCTTTGAAAATTATAAACGTGTTTCCGCCATGTTTTGTATTTATTCATTTGTTTGTTATCACTTCTTAAAGGTGGTTTAAATGAATAATTAAGGTTAAGGACGATAGCGGATATTTGGGCGATTTTTAATTAAATATTTTGTATTAAAATTCAAAATTGTAAAATTTCCGAAACACGTGCTTGGTGAAAGGTTTCAAGAAATACTTGTTTTTTGTAATGTTTTTTCCACTAAATTACAATCGTTGATACGTGATAATGAAATAAATTAGGTCATTAGTACGAGACAACAACTTTGGCATAGGTATCTTTTAATCACATTACTTTTAATCTGAATACATTTAAAGATGTATACAACATTTAAAAAGAGTTAAACACATATTTTTTTTAATATCGTACTATCTTCGGCTTGATGAAACTGTCGTTGATCTAAACGGTCTTAAGAGCGCGCCTAAGGCCCTTTCTCCACTGCTCCGGTCCGGCGTCGGATACCGGAATGAGTCATGAGAAAAATACCGGAAGGCCGGATTGCGCTTCTCCACTATATCCGATCCGACAATAATCGATACTTGTATATTTATCATGAAACACTTATATTAAATAAAACCCATATACTTTATTTTATTAATAAAACGTTCTTAATTCTAAATATTTTATTTCCGTGGCAAGTTTATTACTTTTTTTATATTGTCTATCTTAAAATATTATAATCTACTTAATAAATAGTTCACTAATACTATGATATAAACATATAAATAAATAGCAACATAATTTTGGTTTGGTCCAGGTTATAAAGATTCTTTCAAATTAAAGAAACTATAAATAAACACCGCGTTCCGATCTAGCAAGTTATCGAATCGTTAAAAACCGGATGCCGGAGTAGTGGAGAAGTACGTAAGTACTGTCGTGAGTTTCTAAATCGGATCGGTAATTAACGTTTGCCGGACCGGAGCAGTGGAGAAACGGCCTAATGCTAGCAAAATTCATGATTTCACCCGCGAGCCCCGCTCGTTCTAGTGACTAGTGAAACAAACGTACCTATGCCTGAAGTTTGCGTGAGATGAGATGGACGATACGGTACAAAAAGGAAGTAAACGCCAAATGCTTTTGATTTAAATTTGAGTCTACCATTTAATTTAAAGTGAAGCATCAATACATATTTATTGTTTTTGATTCAAGCATCAAAGTCAAAGTCAAAAATCATTTATTCATGTAGGTAACACAATGTACACTTATGAACGTCAAAAAAAAATACATTTAATGTTTCTAATTTTGCATTTACTGCCAGTTCTCAAATCAAGGGCGTAGAACGGAAGAGAAGAACTGGCAATAAACTCTCCGCCACTCTTTTTAATCGACAAGTTTTTTGTTTTACACAACGTTTGTAAGGAGCTGCAACCATTACACCATGTTCAATGACAATAAATAAATAATAATAAAATAAATTAATAACAATGATTCCTATCCTTTATCAGCATAAGGCTTAGATACTTAGATAAGATCAAATCTACGATGAGTGAATTTGATTAGTGCCCACTCTTAACCAGTGAAAGATCTATGCCACGTGCTTAAAAAATTGTCTAACAAACAAATGAAACGCTAAAACCTCGAAGTTATGAATTGTATGACTTAAGACAGTGACAATTATAAAACTCCGTCCTTTTCCGCACGATCATAAGCAGAAAATTATTCGTGTGAATTATGTAATTATATCAAGCGAGGCACATCCTGTCTATAATTACCATAAAATACCTCATTATGATAGATAATTGTGGAGCAAATCTGTTTTCCTTATTACCATCGCGGCGTCAAGATACAGACCACTGATTGTTGAATAATAGTTATATGAATGATTTTATTTTGTCTTTTACGCGACACACATTTTCGATGGACTTACACAAGAACGAAATCTAATATCCGTATCTAATAATAAAATCTACAGTCCTAAATAAATTAAACGAAAGATGGCGCTAACAACTTCTGTCAGTGTAATCAATATTGCCCAGTTTTTATAACATTAAAAAACTGTAAATTTATATTTGATAGAAATATTTCCCAACTTTTTGGGTACTTAATTAAATATAATTTCAGGTAAATAGGAGGCATAGTTGACCCAAGAAACACTAACCAACTCGTGACAATGCATTTAAAAAGTGAGGTTTTGACCACAAAACGAATTGGTGTTTTAGAACTTGTTTTAAAACACTTGCGAGCCGGGCAATGTGAGTGTCCATGGGCAGCGGTATCACTTAACATCAGGTAAACCTCCTTCCCGTTGTTATAAAAAAAAGGTGTAGATTTTGTACCCATTTTGTTGAAAAGCGAATCTCCAAATGCACCATATGCAACTAGTAATACAAATGTTTCGTATAAATGCTTCGAATGGAAACAACTTGTGTAGAATTTGTGAATGTATATTTATCGGAAGTCATAAAATTCCTTGCGCTTTAATAATGTTGTACCTTTTACTGACAATTGTTTGATAAGATCTAAAATGTTTTCGTAAGTGAATGAATATGGTAATAATTTAGTTGCATGTTGGTTTTTGTAATTAAATTCAAAAAAATTAGGCCCTCTTGCCGTGTCAAGTGGTCGTAGCATTGTACAGGATTTTTCATAGAAACTTTTTCATTACCCCTCCACTGGGGGAGTGTTGTTCTGGTGATTTATATTTACGAACAACATAACATGTGGAATATCGAGAATTTTAATGTATTTTTGAAGTTATACTTCTTTTGGTGCGTTAGAGAAAAATGATAAGAGTAAATTTTTACGATGCGCGCGCACACCGTCACAACAAACTGACACCCTGAAGATAGCTATTTTCAACATTTTAGTTTTTTCTACAAAAGTAGAATAAAATTTTTGGAAAGATTTTTATCACACACGTTTTTGTAATTGTTTTGTCTTTTGTGTATGTACTTAACATACACAAAATATTGATGTCTAAACACCACATCTGTTACCCAATGAAAGCTTAGACATATTTATTATAAAGTAACTAAGTAGAATGATAAACCAATCACATTGAATAGAATCACCACTCCAGGTGTTAAAATCTGAATGTAATTCTTAAATTGTCGTTTTATTCTGTAAAATTACTAAACAATTATATAAGGATAGTTCTTAGATACAAAGCAGCCACTGTGCCAGGTTTCATCAGACTATCTAAATACTGAATGCCTCACTAGGAATATGAATAAAGAAACTAGCATTTGCAATATACAAAGACGTAATTCGCAGACCCTTTCAAATTCCATTTAATGCCTACACCGACTACCGTTGATTAAACACACACATTCGTGTCGGCCGAGTAATTACGCTCATTGTCACATAATTACAGCTAACATTTGTCATTGCACCCACGCCAACTTTATCTACCGGTAAAACATTAGAAGTTTTTTTTTTATTATCGACTTTTTACGTTTATTATTGCGCGGTTTCACCCGCATTAATTCGGTAGCAGGACTTTCCATAGCCTTAATCTTATCTCGGTTAAATAAAAATAAATCAGTTGTAAAACCCTGTTTCATTATCAATCTAATAGGCAAGTAGGTGATCAACTTCCTGTGCCGTATGCTGTCGATTTTTTAGGTCTAAAGCAAGCCGGTTTCCTGACGATGTTTTCCTTCACCGATCGAGTGAATATTTTTGTTAAACATAATTTTTGTAGATATTGATGTCTTCTATCAAACAGTAGTACATCACTTTGCTCTATTGTTAATACTTTCCGCAGCGTACTCGATTTATGGAATCTTTTTTAGTCATTTTCATACCTTGGGTTACCTTCGAGGTAGGAGTATGTTCTCTTTTTAAACAATTGGATGTCGTATCTTCCAGAGAAGACCTTTTACAGCAAATTTTACAGTTACCTAGTTCGCAAAAGAACCTAAGGGATCAACTCTTCAGAAGGAGAGTGTTCCGATACACTTTATAGAAGACGCATAAAGCTGCAATGTCTCTGCGTAGAGAGAGAGAGAATCAAGTCGATCAGTAATACATTGAAGATTGACAATTCAACAAGCCTTTCGGTTAATTTGGTCAAAGGAAAAAGAGAAGAAGAAGCTGGTATTTTGGGAGAACCGGAGTCTAGGAGAGTTTTCATCTAGGCCTTCACCTTTAATATCGAAAAGCGGATAGCCTCACATACTTCAATGGGAATGATGAGAATACCTTTAAGAAATTTCGCACATAGAAGTTTTTAAGTATCACATTATGTAAATCATGTAATTATAATTACAAATAATACGAAAATAGTCACGAGTAATGTTCAGGTCATTGTATATACGCAGCCCTGGAACCCATCAAAAGATACTCCAACATATTCGAATTTCAAATTTCAAATTTTGATTTATCAAATGAAACGGGAAAACATTTCATAGAAATAGATTTAGGAGAATTTTAGTTTTGATTGGTTTCATTAGCACATGAAAATATTTGGTTTAATGATTTCGAGCATCCTTTCTAACAGGTTAGTTCCTAAGCTGCATGAAAACCGGAGCTATAAGTGCAATTTTTGTGATATCCTCATTTTTTCACAACGTTTATTTCATAATACATGTAAAGTTGTTTGATAAAATACGACTTAATGTATAAAATCAGTGGCTCTATAAAATGTTTAGGTCTGTGCCACAGAATTATGTATCTGTTTCATGATTATTTGTCTAATCGGCTAGTAGGTGATCAGACTGTGCCTGACACACGCCGTCGACTTTTTGGGTCTATGGCAAGCCGGATTCCTCACGATTCGAATGTTAAATGCGCACATAGAAAGAAAGTCGATTGGTGCACAGCCTACGACCTCAAGGGTGAGAGTCGCACGCTCAAGCCACTAGGCAACACTGCTGCATGAGCTGTATAGTGTATAGTGTTCGCCGCCTTCCAGAAATGAAACTGGTACACAGTTCAATTCTTAATTTCTTAGATAAGTTATTAAAACATATTTATTAAAAATAGTATCTAATCGGAATGAATATATCTGGAACTTCAGCTTTTTCATGCAAAACCTGTCCTCAATTCTCCACTTATAATAAAAATTGTTATAAACAGACTTACCTATTAATACTGTTCATTGCATTCGCTCCTGTGTTATCCCTTTCGTTCCTCTCCCTGGATCCACCTACAAATCTCTCAAAATTTTCTCTTTCCTTATAATGTCTATCCGGTCTGGGCGATGACGACCGTCTGCCTTGCATCTGCTGTGGCATATTGTTCTGTTGCACTGTCTGCAGAAGGTTGTGATTCCCTTGCGGTTGTTGTAACGCTTGAAGCAACTCCTGCGCATTACTTGCTCCGTTTGAAAGGAAGTTCGGCAAGCCGGGGTTTAATAAGGCGTTTGATAGAGATGGGTTCAGCATGTTCGGCCGTATGTTTGTCTGCTGCTGGTTTGAGTTTAGGAGTTGGTGAGGCTGGGCCATCGCTTGAAGGTTGGCGAGGGATGTGGAGACCACTTGGCCGTTATTAAGTGCTAAGTTTACCATCTGATCGTTGGAGTTCACGTGGTTCACCGGTATTGTTAGGATTGTTTGGGTTGCGATGCCTGTTGAAGAATACATTTTTAAATATCTTGTCTAGTATAAATTACGATAGTACTAGATTAAATATACAGATCACGTGTATTCCACAATAGATTGATTTCTTAATGATGTAGGAATAATTGCCTGTGAAACGTTTCCGCATTAGTTTTATTAATTTCCAGGTAAACGTGTGATCAGCCTTTTTTACCCGAAATAATACTTCCGAGAATCGAACACAAAATATATACCCAATTTGCAAGGTGTGGAAATTATTATTTCAAAGTACTACAGGATATAGGTAATTAGTTTTTGATAGCACAGGGAAATAACGGGTAGGAAGTAAACTGATATAAGGACACTACCAGGAAGCTCGTGATCAGTTTGTCTCTTCGGCATTTAAGAGTTTCTTTTGGTATTATTGTACACACCTTGTGAGGTCGGTATAAGTAGCTGTGCCCCCTGGATTCCTTGAACCAACTGACCAGAAGCTAGTATTAATTGGGGCATCGGGGAAGGCATCGCCGGTGGTAGCATATTATTATTGCTCACTGGGTTTGGTGATCCCATTCCTGAAAAGAATATTTTTTTAAATGAAAAGACAAAAAAACGATAAATTAACTTTCTTTATCACTAAAACTACTTCATTTGTATAATACGTTGTTTAATGATATTTATGTCAAGGAGGAATGTATAACATACACTTGTATGAAGATTTTTCTGTGTATGATCCTATGAAATTATCTCTGTACAAGCAAACGCGATTTCCGATATCCGACGAATAACGATTGGTGATATAGAAATCGAATTTAGCATTAACAAATAAAACCCAACAAATACCTCTCACACCCGATTAGTTGTATTGTACAACAAACAATAAAATTTATAACACGAAACAACGAAATATAATGGAAAACCGTTTTTGACAATACCGTAACCAAATTTGAATTTTGCAAAAATTGCTTAATTGTGCAATCAGGTACTACTTGTATTTAATGATTCTATCTATATGGCATAACGGTACCCATCTGTCATGGTACTTGAAATCAAGCCTATACTTTCTATTATAATTATTAACAATAAAATAATCGAGACAATAAAACGATATCGTCATTCGAGCATCACAAATCACGAACAAAACGAAAAACATTTATATCATACACCATGACATTTCATTTTGTAATACAGCGCATCAATTAAGAACCGAAAAAAATGTATAATTATCTCTATTAAGACAATAAAATTCTTAATGATAACGCGTGAAAAAATTCAACTCATTATTTCGATTGATGGGGAAGATTTTTAATCGATTTGGTTCGGTAATTACCTAATTTCTGACCTCGATTTTCAAGTTTTTAATGCACAAACCTTGTCTCGCTTATTATACCATTCCGTCTAATTAGTGGTTAACCCTCGAGAGCTGAGTGGTCTATTTGACGCGCTCAAACCTAAGGGCTTAAAAGGCAAAAGGTAACAGTTTTTGCTAAAATAGGATCTGCGAAGTGCAGGGGACGAGAATAGAATTAGCTTAATTCAATTGCAACTTTGTTTCTAAATTTTTAGTTACTCCAGTATTTATGGGATTGCGCAATCAAGTTGGACTTTTTAATTTGGGACGAAAGCTTTGCAGATGGAGATAAGTGTTTTAGGGTAATCTATACTAATAAAGCTGAAGGGTTTTTTTACATTATGTAACTACAAAATTTGCCTTGACGTCATTTGATTTCCTATTTGTGGAAATAATAATGAAGAACGATTTTAGGATGTGCACGGGTCTTATTAAAGCCCTACTCAGAATCGTTAAATGAACTCTAATGTAAAATTAATATCTTTATATATTAAGTGCGTAATTTAATGATTACTTTTGAAGTTGTATTTAAGAGAAATAATGAAATGTTTATTAACACATGAACAAATACTAGCTTTGAAACGTATTTTTTGCTTTTTAATAACCTAATCATAATTTTAAGGGTTGAAGTTTCAATTCGAAATAATGTTCACTTTTTAGATTTTCACGACATCTTGAAGTTAAATAGGAAAAATATCGTTAGTCTTGAGAATATTTTACTATAGCAACAGGAAAACGAATGAAGTGGGACATGACAAATATTCAATCTACTACATACATACTACTACATTAATATAAAAACATATATATTATTCAATAACGTGACACATATTATTAACTCACCAGAATCAATTGTTTTTCCGTTTAAAAAACTCAAATGTTTTTCATCAAAAAGCATAGGATATACCTAATTAACGTCTAAAACACTAATCATGCTTTAGTATAATTTAAAATGCATCATTACCTGGTGCACTAACACTCAAATTAAGTGGCGAATTAATGACAGGGTTCGGCATGGAAGTGAGACCCTGGAGATTCGCAGCCAGCTGCGACATCTGCTGTGACATCTGTTGCTGCGAAATCGGCATCCCTTGTTGCATGTTCGCCAGGTTTTGCAGGTTTTGGAACATCGATGCCACTGGGGGTCAAAGGTTGTATTGTACACTCCATAATTATACATTAAGGAAATAATTGTCTAGAAATATCATAAATGTTCAACACAAGATTCCTTTAGTAGTTTTCATGAAAGTATGATTAGGTTATTAGACCCAAAGGTGTGGAAGATCAATGTCTATTGAGAAAATATTATATTATAATTTTCATAAAAAAATTATGTAATAAATAAGGTAGTGAAATTATAGAAAATGAGAATAACCTTCGGAAGAGCTTAGTACTGTTATTATTGAGAAAATATATTTACGCTTTTAAAACATTTTCATATTTTTAGCACATATTTTCTAAATGGGTAACGTAGGGTACGTTAATATTAATTGACAAACTTATGAGAATGTGCCTTGGTTTAAGGTCAATTATTGTATTTCGAAAACAATATTCTTAGTATTTAAGAATATATTTAATCGTTAATGTAATAATTAAAAAAACATTCAGTACGAACTCACTAGAGCCATTCAAGTGGGGTTGGTGCGGCGTGCGCTCGCGCGGCGACGGGGTCCGCGGCTCGGCTAGCTGCGCCCGCGGTCCGCCACCCTCCGGCGAACTAGCGCCGCTTTCCCGGTCCGACTCCGCCTGCTGACAATGGAAGCACACTTTAAAAATGCCTAAAAAGAACTTAGTATTGCTATATTTAATACTGTAAATCCAAGCGTTGCGTTGTTTGTAAAGCAGGGGCAAGTCGATCAATGCAGTATTCTTATAAGAATATACAATTACGCGCAATTAAAGCTGCTACAGCCGCTTAATCGCTTGGTAACTAATTGCAATTACTCACGGTTTGAATAACGGTTCGTCTTCTTAAAAAAATGCCTACTATGATAGACTGTTAACATTACATTCTATCAATCTGATCTAAACGCGATTTACGCGGGCACGTTTCACCTGGTCTCCATAATATATAAAAGCTGTCGAAAATATACAAAAAAAGTTTGTGAAATTCCTTAGTTTTTAACAGTATCAATTTCGATAGATGTCGACGGAGTCAGCAAGACTTATTATTTTTAATTGTTAATGCGGATAGATAGCCTCTATTTGCTGTCGTTGATTTCTCTAAGAATCCCTCCACTGTATGCGACAAGATATTCACAATTGTTCCATGTGCCTCGTACGAACACGAGTTACCTTTATAATTCGCCAATGTTTCGGGTTTTATCTAACTATGACACTAATTATGAGGATATTGATATTTTCACCTCACCAACGAGGATGTGAGGAAATATTTGAAGAGGCGGAAAGACTGTGACTTTAGCAGTAACAATTTCGTTTTTATTTAAATTTCTAATTTTTTTAATGTTACGCTTCAGTTATCTTTTCTTTTTTGTTTCTTTTTGTCATTCAATGTACTTACTTATGTTTTCGGTTTCATATATATTGCTTATCTATGTAATCTGTTTTGGCTTTGTATATTGTAAGTGTTTTGTTTTATAATATGTATTGCTGTAAGATTACAAATAAATAAATATCTATAACTAAATTATTTTATAAACATAGTTATCTATGTCTAGGAACCCTCATCAATGTCCCACATTTCAATTTCAATATACGGTTCTTAACAAATCGTTGGACAACTATATTCATAGCTGATAATTGGGCAACAAGGAACAAATTCTGTCTCTGGGTAGTTAGCAAGTTCTTTAGCAAGCCGTGTAAACGCATACTTAGATTCAGTTATTATATTTTTTTCTTATTAATGAATAAATATTACGTATATATACTTGGCGATTAAAAAGAGTGGCGGAAAGTTTCTTGCCAGTTCTTCTTACCCGCTCTACGCCCTTGACTTGCGAACTGGTAGTAAATGTAAATTTACAATTAATTTTCAGACAATTCATAAGTGTACTTGTTGTTGTGTACCTACATGAATAAAGATATTTTGAGTTTGAGTTTTTATTTTGAAGAGTTTTTATTTACTACATTTGACAAAATGATTTTCATTTTAATCTTCATTAGCTCTTGGTAATCTTATTTATTTTAAACACATTTACATATTTAGTATTTCTTATGAAGTTAAAAGTTCTGAGATAAATTAATCTAGATTTTGTCGAATGCGAATGTTATAGGTACCGATGTTGTTTAAGACCCGGAAAAAAGTATTCGGATGGTTTTGCTAAAAAACTTTTGACGTTAAATTATGAGTTAGCCTTTGTTAGTATTGTAACTTTAAACGAACCGTTATTCATAATATATAATATAGAACCATCAGAAGTACCTAATTTTCATAGCGTTTTTAAAGCTTATAATCTAAACAATTACGTTTAGATAAAGGAAGACAAAGACGCAAGGAAGAAGTGACTGTAGCTTGTTCAGTTTCTAGTGTTTAGATAACAAATTTTGATTTCATGGTTTTAGTTTTTAAATCATATCGAATCGCATAGCAATTTACGTATACGTGGACATAAAGCTTATTATGTACTTCTTGTACACCGTGATTTACTAATAATAATAATATATTTAAAAAAATATAAAATAGGCAGGAAGGAAGCTCACCTAATGTTAATGCTGATGTCCATGGACACTTACATTGCCAGAAAGCTCGCAAGCGCGCTGCCGGCCTTTATATCTAATTGTGTGTTTCGAAGTTAACTTACAGCTTAGTATTTTTTTTTATATATATAAAAGTAGTAAATCGTCAAAAATAAAGAACTTTTGATTCAAAACATTCGTAAAATCCACCACGCATTCTAAATTTAAAAATCTCGTGAGTTCACTCAAATATAATAAAATAGAAATCCTAATTTAATTGTTGTTAAGGCTGTATTTATCGAAATTGATAAATAATTAAGGAAATTAAGATAAAATTTTATCGATGGCGGTTATGTCTAATAGATAATTGCCGCTATTAGCTATAATTAATATTAGCCTTGGAAATATAATAAAGTATATTGTTGTCTAAAATTAATCATGCATAAATTTTATTTATGTGTTTTTTAATTAAATTGTCGGCGTGTGGGTTACATAAGGTGTAATTAACTATTAGATGAGGTCTTTTATATAATGATTTGATTTAAAGTTAATATTTATTAAATAATAGAAGTAATCAGTAGAGATTTTTGATTATTATTAATAAGGAAATATATTATTTTTATCTCAATATTATGGTAAATTTTGACTGCTATATTTAGGAGTGTTTAACGTTTTAACTAATAATATTATATACATCGAATTAGGTTATAATTTAAATATTCAAAATAGTTTTTCATAATATTACGTTAGAGTACATTACAGTACTTTTTTAAATGAGCAAAGTTTTTTTACCAATTATTGTCGTTATTAATACAACGTAAAATACTATACTATCTTATCTCATAATTAAATCGAGCAAAATATATAATTTTTAAATTACTTACGAAAGACAATGTCATTCTCCCCACACTTAGTTTAATTAGTTCGTCACTTCCGGAAAATTTCAGTCTCTATAATTTTCCCGTAACACGCTGCATTGTTGGCGAGTTTTCCGAATTTTTCACAACACGTCCCGAAGCCGAAAACTTTGTCGAAAGTTCAGAAACGCACTACTCACAAACACGTGATAATAAAATCTTATTAGAAAGTTTTTTATTGAAACTATTTCCACGTTTTTCCACTTGTACACGTTGAAAAGTTTTGTTAAAAGTTTAGTTAGATAGCGCAGCACGTATCGGCCTGGCGTTCATATTTTTATTTTTTTATTTATTTATCCGCGGCACACATACAGCCGCGCGCCGAGTTGCACAGCGCGGAATGAAAGCGTCATCAGTTTAAAAAATCAACCCCTTTAGTGGTGGTTGGAAAAAATGCGGCCCCGCGGGGTGGTGGGCGGTCACCCGAAATCCTTGCCAAAGCGATCGCCATCGGCTCGACTTGTCACTTGTCGAATAAGCATAATAATTAGACTTTTCGATTAGCGATTTAATTGAACGCATTTTTATTATACTCAACTTTTAATGTTCTACATTCAATAAGAGGAGATTGCAATGAGGAATGTTATTTGAAATTAATGTTACGAATTATTATTGATTTTTATATATATTTCGAATGGATTTTACCCAACCTAGTCATTGTTGGAGTATTTTATTTAAAAAATTTAGAAAGTTATACTTTCTCGGGCTGATATAGATTGTTTGTACGTTGCGTATTTCTTCTCGTGTTTATATATATATATATGTATATATATATATATATATATTTTATACATTGTTTGGATGATTGGGTGGTGTTTCGGTGATAATGTGTTGTGAATTTTAAAATCAAAGTGAAAACTGGCTTAATAGTTGATGCGGCTGAGTTAGAGAACATTTGTTTAAAATTCAACCACGGAATAAAATATGAGGTGGCTGACCAAACCGGACAACGGTTCGCAGAAAAAATTATCACCAGCAAATAACATTCGAAATAATCAGCGGTACACGAAAAAATCAGTAATTATTCAGATGAAGTTGGACGAACGAAGGGGGTAAGGGGGCAAAGGCCGGCCAAAATAAAAACGGCGTTGCGTAGGGGCGACACCCCCGCCCCCCGCCTCTACAAATGTTATCTAACTGCGTTCGCTTGTGCCGCGGCGCCGCTCCGCTCGGAATTAGCGCGCCCGTCCAATTTTCAATTTGTACTCAATTTTTCCTCGGATAGTTGGTCCTAATGGAAATGGCTCGACGATCACGGATTTCGTCTGAGCGCGCGGAGCTAGAGCGGTCCGACTCCGCGAATACATTACACTTCATTATTTGGCCGCAAAGTGGGTATTATCGGGCGCGGGCATACACGAATACTTGGCCGTGCGGATGTGTGTGTAGATTTTTACTCATTAATTTTAAAACGCTCTGGATTTTTTTCAGGGCGGGTGCTAGGGTGTAGGGGGTAAAAATTGGCGATGGCCGCCGGGCGGGGTGTCACCGGCGGGGGTTATTAAATAGATTGGTCCGCGGCCGAACGGAGCCGCCGATCTGCACTTGTACTCGCGTCATTAACGGGTTGAGAAGCGATTTAAAATCGTGAAATAACAGCCTGTTACAGGAAAAGTTGAGCGGGGCTTATTGGTCCCGCGTCGTCGTCCAGCGTGATTGCAATAAAGCGTGTCAGTGTTAGATGTCTTGCACGTAGCGTTGTTATTGTTGCGGGCGCGCTAAGGGCCGAGCTGAGATCCAGTCCGGCAACGAGGGCGTAATTGGCTGCGACGAAATGCGATATGTTACACACACGCGTAAGCATTTTTTTAAACTGCCCGTTCGGTAGGGTGACCGGGGGATGGGGAGAGGAATTGTGAAAAATACTCGAAAAAAGGCGAAATTGTAGCAGATATATAATTAAAGTCGGACGTACGGTAACACTGTATGGCCATGTATTATGCAGACAGGAGTCCGGTGTCGCGCACTCGATTCGACTACGAAACGACAACGAAGAAATATTAATTGAAACGACTGACGTAATATTTAGACTTGAAGTATTTTGTTAAACTGAAATATCATCATGAATAAAAAAATAAATCTAATTAGCACGCAATTAAGTTGCACTTTTTAATTATGTTTCGTATTTTATCGAATTCAAGTACAGCAACTACAAATCATAATAATTACCCTGCGAGAAAAAAATTGATAAATCAGGTTAAGTGTGATTTCGATTTGCAGTTTTATATTTTTATTTCCTGGTACTGTTTTCCCACAGTGATTTTGCTATTCAAATTCAAAATAGTACTGTGAGGTCAAGATCAGATATTGCGATTTCTAATAGGGAAAGCCTTAATAAGATTTACTATTACGAAGGGGTTTTGTGATGCTTACAAATCTGTTGTATTCATAGTGAAGTATTAGGAACATTTTAACTATACTCATGGCATAATAAGGATAGAGACTCTTAAGACAAAAAGATACAAATACAATCTTTTCGACGGACAAATATATAATCAATCTATAATCCGCGAATGAATGTATAGTGCATGACCGCATGTGCATTCCGCCTAAATTCTTAAATCATGTGGATCGACGCGCGAAATGTCATGTTGGGGCGATTTTGAACTTGGCGCCGCATGTCAACACTTTGTAAGTTACTGACATTCGAATTTTAAATTTTAATATTTTATCAACCACTCTGTTGCACTCGGAACATATTGTGCTTTGAAAAATGGTTATGCTGTCGGTTTTATAATATTGTTTTAGTACAAAAACTAACCCAGCCTTACTTAGAAACTTTTTAGAAGCATAGATATGATGTACTTATTAGTGAAATCTATTTTTCAACTATTCTTAACCAGTAATAATAATAAAAAATTGATAAATAGAAAATTAAAGCAAATTACAAACGTTTGGTCGCTTTGGGTATCCTTGCTGTATTGCGATACTTATTCGTTGAGCTAGGAAAGCAGACTTGGGGTCGCCGGTGCTATCTACCAGGAGCCAACTTAAATCTATAATTAGTGCCTGTACATAACACAGCCCAAGAGTCTCTACACCAAAAGGATCAAAATCAAAGTTGGAGGAAAGACTCTTCTATTTGGGCTGTTTACTTCATTTTCGAATTACCTTTTAGGAAAATAGAAGTTATGATGGTACATAATGTCATAATCTGTAGGGCTATTCTGTAAAATCTTAATATATATAAATTACGTGTAATGTTGTTTGTCCGCTATGGACTCCTAAACTACCGAACCGATTTCAATCAAATTTGCACACCGTGTGCGGTTTGATCTAACTTAAAAGATAGGATAGCTTACATCTTTTATACCCTATCATCAATTTATACCCGCAATATTATTTTATTGCAAAATATTCGTTTATTATTTGATAGTCACAATTCTAACAGGTGGCGCTGTGTTGGAAGTACCAACGTTTCACATAAGCTACAATTTAATGGCTAAAAAAGCTTTGTGTTCTCCTACCGTTTCCTTTGAATATTTTACCACTATGTGATATAACAAAAACCTTAGCCACAGCAACGCTTGGCCGGTCTGCTAATCTTTTATAAAAATTAACTTGAACTAGCTGTTATAATTAAAAACCGCTACAAAATTTACGTACTAACCTCTTGGTAATTCGTCAAAATAACGCCTACAAAAGGGTTGTTAAGTCTAAGGGTCTACAAATGGCAGATGTCATAGGGTCCCAAATAACATCAAATTCAATGGAAACTTTTCATTTATATCGTAATTTCCCTTCAATTACCAACCATTTATTGGCCGGTAAACTAATTACTGAACTGATCAGAGTGTATTTTTGTTTACCCTAATATGACTCCGGTAATTGATTTTGGATCGCTGATGTATTTTGAAAGTATGGGAAATAAGTTTTTGTAACTACTCGAAGATATTGAGAGTCCAGAAATGCTAAGTATGACTCCTTAACTACTAACGTTAATTCTTTTAGCAGTGTTGACGTGTATTGAACGAGCCACTCTCAACTCTGAGGTCATGTGTTTGAATCACGAATAAATTTTGTTTCTATGAGTGCAACACTCGCTATCGAAACCTATAGTATAAGATCCCGATATACTACGACCTTCACCGAGATGCTTATTTAATGAAACGTATTTTATATTTAATTTAATATGTCAATAAATATAATCCATATGGGTTGCCTAGCAAATTTCAGTCCAGAGTATGTTTAATTAATATTTAAAAAAAATATTTTATAATTGCATGTCGTATTTAAATTTTTCAATCTATATTTTTAATCGAAGATGTTCACTCATACTAGTACTTTCTTTTACTAGAGATGTATTATATACTTTAGTGTCACATCAAAATAACACATAAATAATTAATTGCATTAAAAACAACCTAGTTTGCATATTCTATGGGCTTCATAACTTTCGATTGGTATGGAATTTATCTAATAATATACCGTGAAAGTCTAAAAAAATATTTTTACATATTATTAATTCTCTGGACTGAAATTTTTTAGGCAACCATGGGATTTATTATGACATATTAAATTGAATATAACAATACGTTATTAAATAAGCATCACGGTGAAGATTTGTGTATTCGGCGGGATTTAAACATGTTGCACAGAAATCAGGCTTTGCTTTGCCTGATTAAAAAAAGAAATGATCACGGACATATACAGAAGATAATTTTATAAAAATTATTGATTCAAATGAAGAATTATTTGGTATACTTTTATAAAAACAAAAGGCTATATTTTTATTTTTATAATGGTTGGACACTTTGAATATTTAAGCAGTTCAAATTGACTAACACTAATGCGAAGAATAGTGATTAAAATTTTGATAACTCTGTGATTTTGCTCTGTCCACAGAATTAACCTTTTATTCAACATTATAATTACATGCAAACAAACTGTACACATTAGATATGGGCTGTTATTTCTAATGTGTCATAATCATTTTTCAATCTAATAAGCAAGTAGGTAAGCTTGTTGTGCCTGACACACACTGTCGACTTTTTAAGTCTAAGGCAAGCCTCACGATGTTTTCGAAAGAAAGTCCATTGGTGCACAGCCAGATCGAATCTACGACCTCAACAATGATAGTCGCACGCTGAAGGCACTAGGAAAACACTGGTCTCAAAAATAGATGGACTGGAAATAAATACAAGTCCAATATTGTTACATTAATTTTATTTTTGAAGTGAAACTTCTTTAGGCGATGAGGGTAAAATTTATACGTATGAAACGCAATAACAATAATATAAGCGTCACGAAGATGTGCAGCGTTTTTGTCGTAGAAAAGGAAGAGAGCGATTGAGACCGATTGAGAGAGAGTGAGAAAATAAAATTTCGTAAAGAGAATTTTATGCAAAAATTATTGAAATCTCAAATGAAGAATTGTAAATTAAAATGCCACGTGTTATTACTATCAAAGAAATACATTAAAAAGTTAAATTTATAATTTGTATTAATTTTTGACACTTTGAATATTTTAATGACAGTTAAATTGATTAAATTCCTAACATATCTTTCTTTTTCCCTCAGTCTAAGTCTCGGAAATCTAAAGTGTTAGATTTGTATAAATATGAACAAGGCTTAAAAATTTGCCAAAGAAGTTTCACTTCTGACATGTGTACTTCCACAGACCAGAAAAAAAAATGCAATAATATTTGTCTATACATTTCAAATCAAGCCATTAAAAAACGTCTCTCCTCATTTCTATTGAATCGACACTCTGGTGAAGTATAGGTCAAATTCACTTTAAATTCCAATTATCAACTACTTAATAACAAGTACGCATAAATGTGATTATAGAGGTCTATGCGCAAGAGCATGACGTCACAGCAGGGACCCCCGGGGCGCGTGTACTCAATTGCTTAGTTAAATTGTTCAATACAAATTTTCAAAATAGAAATTCGAATTGAATTAGGGAACAATTATTAGGGTTTTAATGGGTATTATTGATTTGTAGGGTGTGGGGTTGTGATTATTGGTACTGCACGATTATTAAAAAACAGTAAAAATTGTCGAATTGTGATTCTAATTTAAATTCAGAATCAATGATTTGTGGTACCACCTGCAAGTATACTTATCCATAAAAAATAAAATAAAAATAGCCTGCACTTTTTCTTTTATAGAATAGAGGGCAAACGAGACGCCCAAAAAAAGCAGTCATCAGTCCATGGACACTCATTCTTCCACATGTCTCTAATTTCCGACACACGTTCCAATCCTTCCCCACCATTCCTTTTATACCATATTCCCAGGTTTCTGATGGATGTCCTCTCTTATTTTATCCCACTGGTCCATCTCAAGTAAGGGTAATTTTGCACCATCCGTTATCACAAACGCGGGTGCGTTATAATGCGTGTACTATTTATAATTAATTTTCAAATTATAATTTAGCTTTATAATAATCATGTTTACATAATCTAGGTATATTATATGGCACCGGAATAAAATCATATAATAACTTATTTAGAAGCCGCTATTTAAACGTAGTATATTCAGTGAATATCAATTATCAAGTGGTATAAGTACCTAAATTGTTTCCTATACTTTAGTCAAAGGCAAATAGTAATTCTATTTATAATCACGTCATTGTATGATACTCTAATGTCTCTATCTCGATCGCTATCGCACAGAAGGTGTTTAGAAGGTAGGAAAGAAGGAAAATATGTTCATACTAAGCGAGCATCAGCGTTCTAGTCCAATTTCTAATAAGGAACGCTTTGGCTAAAACTGATATCCAGATTGAGCATTCTAATAAATGCGACTGGGCCTGGGGGTTCATAGTTGCTCCCCTCACATTTAGAAATCGATTTTCAT